TATGCCTGCATGTCTGCTCGCCAAGATTGGGAGGTGCGGCCGTACAACTCTGTGTGCAGCGACCGTACCAACAGTGACCAATCATCAAACTCTGTTTAACCTAAACCCACATCCTGATCATGAGTAGCTCCCTGCGTTTACACACTTTATCCGCAATATATTCACTGAATAAACGTGCTCCTTGCTACACGTCTGTTTCCTTTATAGCTAGGCTATAGCTCAGCTGGTTCTGGGAGTCTAGCTAGATGTTGGAGAATCTGCCATAGAGATTTCTGAGTCGGTCAGGCTTTAATAAGGTAGCAATCCGCTACAAAACCAAGCGATTATAAATTAGAGTAAAAAATTTCACAATTTCACTAAAATTTTGAATAAAATCCGATGGAGTAATTTTTGTCTACCAACATTAATACCTTAAAAGTTTTTTACATTATGACAATATTGCATTGAATACTGAACTTTCCTTCTAGCGTTAGAAAAAGGGCAAAGCGGATTTAAATTAAACGCATTTTCTGAAATCCGCGCAAAGTTAAAAATTATTTAATAAAAGATGCAAAAAACAATGAATTTGGTTAACTTAGAATAATATTTTCATTAACAATTCCGTTAAAACTTTTTCAGAAACCAAAAATACCATTATCTAGATAAATTGTGCTTCGTCACTGTCAATTTTAACAAAAGTGAATTTCGTTTTTCATGAGAAATTTGACAACTTGATGCCTTCAGATTTCCACACCGAATTTTAAGGGACGATTAGTTTCTATCTCCGTGTTATCCATGATCAAATATTTTATTCTTGTTCCAGATGGCCCGCATGACTAAAATCGTATGCCACCTAGCCTTACCAAGGCTACTAATAGCATATATTTTGAAACGCGACAGCACTTCCGTCCGTATATATATATATATGTATATATATATATATATCTACATCTGATAAATCTAGCATAATCTTAAAGAACCATAGTGTTTTCAGTAGCGAAAGACTAATAGATTTTGGAGTGTTGACTGTTGACTTTCAGTAGAGCCTGAGCGCGAAACAAGAAAAAGCAAAATCCCAACAACCAGCTTCTTCCCCCCTCCCCCTCTTCAATAACTCGAGAACAATCAACGATTGACGTATTAGAAGCAAATAAATATTGTCATCAACCTACCTAAACCGCGCATTGATAGGCGCTCCAAACATTCCAGAAGCCACAGCTGCTGCAGCTGCAGCAGCAACTGACGTCGGCGTTGAAAGCGGATGAATAGGGTGTGGCACTGGACCAGGTACCAAAGGAAGATTCATAATCGTCTCTTCCTGAGAACTGTTAGGAGTTGGCAGGTTGATAGGAGAAGCAGAAAGAATTTGTCGACCTGTTGAAAGAGGTGGTGCAGAAAAGGGAACAAATTCATTTGGGTCATGGAATGGATTGGCAAGTTGGAGTGAATCTTGCCCGTTTCGCGGCATTAGTAGATGAGGAGGGAAGGCAAAGTTGGTTGGAAGTGACCCCATCTAATTTGGCAAAGAAGTTTTTTAAAGGAATTTTATTAAATTAGATCATAATAAAAGCAACTACTTTCCCAGAAAAGGCCATTTGGCCCCCATTTCGAAACGTCAACGATTGTTAGAAATCAATTTATTACCGAATTCTTGATCCCTACTATGCTAAAATCATGTTGCCTTCCGATCATCGAAAAAGAACTTAATTAAGGTGTCAAAATTGATCATTATAATTAGTTAAGTGGACAACTGACACTGATGTGCCTAATGAAGTGCAAATCCTGCAACCCCAATTAAGTGTAGATTGCCTTTTGACGCTCATATTTTGACTCCCTTTCTGAACTCTGTACAATTTCGGTTGCGCTTTGACAACGAAAGGTTAAGAGATATTTTAGCATCACTGTGAACCAGTATGAAAAAGCGATCGGAACGCCACGCCGTTCAAATAGGCAGTACAAATTGGAAGGAATGGAAGAGATGAATGAATTTTAACAATTAAAAAGGGGTAAACAGAAAATTTTATCTCCTCATTGACCAACAAAAGAAAATGCACAAATAAATTACTATAAAAATCGACATAATCTTCTACGATGGACAATTTAGATGGAAAAGAGTTTAAATATAGGTGGTATTAAAATTCTGTATAAAAGCGGAAAGCCAGTCTCAAGATCGTTGCATAAATGATAAAATTATGGCTACTTTCAGTAGGGCTATTTGCTAGAGGCTACAATGTTCACCCATGAAAATTGATTTAAACACGGCTACAATTTAAATTTTTGCTCATAAAAGGCCATCAAAGCTCAAAACCTGTGAAAATTTGTTATAGAGTTGCAAAAATAGAAAAGGTCAGCAAAAACGTCTTGTTTTATTTACAAGGCCAATAATGTAATACTTAATTGTGGAAGTTCGTTATATCCAATCATCATATCCTTAATTCCAATTGTTAGATTTTGACCTCTAAAACCTGATTGTATCTCTGAATACAATGTTAAAAGCTAGTTGATCGGGTTTATTTAATGAGTGGGTGCCAAATTCATGCAAATTGACTTGTCTAAATTTATAAACGTAAAAAAGACAAATACCTATTGTAGTGCTACTCGAATGCATGGTTCACTGTAATTCAAGTTGTTTCCAAAAGTTTACATACATAATGTACCTTCAGCCGCATTTCGAATTTAAAGGAAAGAGCACAACTCCATTTTTTAAGTGAGTATTTGTAACACATGATTATTACCTATAAATATAATTTGCCTAAATTAGTCGGAAAATATTCCTAGTTAATGCAAGACCAATATAATCTTGTAATTTAAAATTAGTCAAGTCTTAAGCAATTTAGATTAATTTAATTGTATTTCGACGCCTTTTTAAAAGCAAAAAAATTGAATAAAACAATACTTTCATAAGTGAGAGTAAATATCCTAGAAGTATCCTTGTCAAGGTCCCAGATGTTCAAGCTTGCAGCATGCTGTATAAAAAAACCAGGCCTTACCAAGGGTTTGATTAAGATAAAATTAAATTATTACATGCTTGTTTAACATTTATTTACGTCAACGCACTTAATCCCCCACCACCCCACCCCCCACTATTTTGCAAATATGTTTGGTTGATTGCAAAGCGGAAAAGAAATCATTTAGAGGCAATATCTGCACTTGTGACACAGTGGCCGCAGTCGAACACGCACTAGAGTTCACAAGATCAAAGCGCATCTGTGCTTACCCAATCACGTGAATGGCAACCTTCATTTACTAAGTTAAATCACTAAGAAGGCTGTGGGAAGTATAATTTTCAAGAGTAGCTCAAAATTCCCAAGATTTGCGCTATTAACACTTGCGACAACAGACTTCAGGATATTGGCTCTAGAATCATTAATATAAAAAAGATATAATATCAGCAAACTTTGATTTTCAGACATATATATGAGAATCCTGCTTTCTTGAGACAGTTCGACCCCCCTTAATTAGAAGTGGCAGAACATTTCCTTGACTATAAATACTTATTTCTCTCATTAAAACATCCAATTGCATTACGGGTTCGTGCTCTATTAAAACAACCACTGCGTATTTTGATTTAAATCAAATAACTGTATAAATAAGCCAAAAAACTGTTTATAACAGTTTGGGTGGTTGAATGCAAGTTTAAGTGATATTTGTGGCGGAATCCTAGTTACTGACCGATCTATTTTCATTAAAGTAAATGAAAACATTTAAATGTTAACTAAAACAAGTATCATGATTGTGTATCGCGTAACAAGTAAAGTTATGTACCCTGTGTATACTTAAATTCACTTAGATGGGGTACTGAGTAAAGAACTTGGTCAACGTTAAGGGAATTTATCACCTGATGGCTCTATGCTTCAGGTATTCTTTGAACTATACTCTAACTCCCATAAAAATATATTACTTAAATTATTCACAATATCTGCACATTAAGCAGTAGTTTTTCGCTTCTAATACTAAAACATCCTTTTTGAAAACCTTTTCTAAAGTAATTAATCTAACCTGTGTTTAAGTTCCCTAAAAGCTATATCGCCTCTAATATTAATAATATTTTTAAAGCCTTATATGGTGCTAAAACCCTGTAAGAGCGCATCATTCATCTGTTGTCTCCGCTTTTATAAGCCAGAATGAAATGACAGTTTATGTCAAGTGACAACTGACTTTCTTAATGAAAAATTTAGTAAATTCCAGGCATATGTCCTTCAATATTGTCAGTTTTAAAAAATCTCAATATTTTTATTTTTCGGTGGGACTACTTTAAATACTGCATCAAAATAAGACTTAAATATAATTCAACACTTTAACAAATCAGTTGAGCGAAAATTTCATTTCAAAACCAAAATCTCAAAGCACCATCCATTTCCCGGTAAATTTTTCACTATGGAAAAATACAATTTCCTTGATAAAAATATAATTAGAATAGTACTTTTATTCATGCGACTATTTTGAATAAAATAAGTTACCTGAATTCTAGGCATTTAAAAAAAATTGTATGGCAGGAGCGTTGCAACTTTTCTTAACGCTTTGATTTGGACGGTCAAAAGTTGGATCTTAACTATATGAACCAATAATTTTCATTTCAAATAAATATTATACAAAGAAAAAACAATCACAAGCACTTAAACCAATCTTAATCTTAGCGCATGGTAATATATATTATATTTAAAATATGGGGTGTGCGATAGGCTTACCTCCACGTGGTGCACCCTGGGCAACGTATTCTCATACGGCAAAAAAGTCTATTTATCGGCAGTTGACTTCTGACTTCAAACTACCATGACCCTACTGTATGTCATATCCGATCACTTCCACCATACTTATCCTACCTTTTCTCTGCCTTTGTGTCTGTCTGTCTCTTTCACATCTTTAAACACTCTTCTGTTC